CTATATAACTTTTACTTATTATATATATATATATATATATGTGTGTGTGTGTGTGTGTGTGTACTATTTTAGGGTGTGGTTTGTTTAAGGTTGCACCCTTATGCAATCAAAGTAAGGTCCACCACCAATTTTATTGCAAGATGTAATTTTGGCATAAATTTTTTTTAGGTTGGATCAAATCAAGTAGATCTATAAACGCATGAAAATCTTGAAAATAGACGGTCCAAATAATATATTGTAAAATGCACTATTATTGAAACTCAAAAAATATTTTTACTTTTATATTCATACATCTTTATATCGAGATGATCAAGTAAGGGGCTTCCCAACTCCAAAATAGTATTTTATAATAGATTTTGTAGGTGCACATTAATTCTACATTTCAAAGTTGCAATTTTATATTAACTTTTTCCTTCATAATTTCATGCCTTTGGTCGAATAGATGACCATATAAAAGATAATAATTTCATGCTTATTGTTAATAGATTAAAATAACAAATATTTTATTTTTGAAACCGACCTCAAATAATTGAAAACCGACCCAAATAATTAAAAAGGATATGATGATGACATATATTCTTTTTTGAACCCTAGGAAGATAGAGATATTGCTAAAAAAAGAAGTGTAGACATGCATCGGATGATGACATATATTCTTTTTTGAACCCTAAGAAGATAGAGATATTGGTAAAAAAAGAAGTGTAGACATGCATCGGCTTATTGATGTCGTGCAAGAAGAACAGACGCGCCACTTCCCATTGTTGTTGTTTTTAGACGTGTTCATTAATAATGCATTCATGAACACATTTAGACACACGTATAGATGCATGCATGCATCTGCACGCATGCATATACCATATATGGATCCCAATGCCATATGTGGGAAATATGCATGCACATTGGCACATAACGATGATATCTACGTGTTCTTATAAGCCGTTGCATGCGTAATGAGGGGAACAGAACTTTGGATCAAGAGAAAAGAGAGAGATTTAGGAATTATTTGGAGAACAATAATTAAAAAAACACTTAGAGAGAGAATGTAGAGAGAGAGTATAGAGAGAGAAAGAGAGAGCCTCTAGAGAGAGAGATTTTGCACCGGATTTTGGGGTGTGTTGAAATTCGAGGGACCCAGCCTAAATGCGATGTATTTCTAATCCTCCTTTAAGTGATTACTAAATCTAAAATTACATTAAAAGAAGGTATAAGCCGTCCTTAATGATCTCGAAAACCCAGTTTGATATTTCACCGAAATTTCGTTGGATTTCGGGAAAGCAACTTCAATTGTGGTCGGAGAGTGAAGAGGAAGAGACATGGCCGCGTGCTATAAAAACCCACGCTTCCTCCTTCACAAATCCTTCCTACAAAGCGAGGACCCGCGGTTCAAAGGTATTCCTCCCCCTCTTTCTCTCTCTCTCCATCAATTTCTTTAAAAAAAACTAATTTTTTGGTGATTTAGGGTATTTTTTCCTTTTTGTTTTTTTGTTTTACTTAGGATGTAGGGTTCATGGTA